GAACTGCGCGTCTCTTTCGCCTCCAGGCAGAGCCCCAGTTGAATTGGACAGAGCCACCCAGCGGGAGGCGAATTTGGGGTGAAGGTGTATAAGATCCAGCCTGGAGGGTTGAGGGGTGCCAACCTTTATTTCAGGGTCGGTGGGGGAACAGTGAGCTCCCAAGAGAGCCTCGTTTGGTGGTGGAGGAGGGGAACTCCGAACTTCATTCCAGAGTCCTGTCCCCAAAGCTCTTCAACTCCCTCTCTCCCTAATAACCTCTCCCTTCAGCGGAGTCCCGCCTCATTATACAGCCTTAGGGTCCTTAAATCAGCCAATGCTGCCTTGGCCCCTCTTTTCCCACACTCCTAGGTCAGTTTCATTTCTTCCCCTCCCCCCTTGCGCTCCTCCCCTTTCCGGGAGCCTGGTGCTCCTGGCCTAGCGGAGGGGGATCCGGGGGCCGAAGGGGGCGGGCCCGGCTCCAACCCCCACCCCACCCAACTCAGGAGCTGCGGGATATAAGGTGCAAGGCCGGCTTGGGCTCGGTCCACACCAGGATCCGGAGGAGCGATGGTCACTCGGGATCGAGCGGAGAATAGGGACGGCCCCAAGGTGAGAGGTGAGGGGAGGGGGCAGAGGTCCCTGGTCCGGCCAGGGGACCGCGTCCCTGAGACCCTGGGTGAGGGAAGAGGCTGGAGACGCAGGGTTGGAAAGGGGAGAGGTGTGCGTGCGGGGGACCCAAGGAACCAGGAGCTGGGGAGGAAGCGGCGAGGATGGGGATGGGGATGGGGTCAGAGCAGGGGCTGCGTGGGCGGCAGTACTGGTCTTGGGTTTGGGTAATGGGATTTGGCACCTTGCGGCTTGCAAGGCGTGGGAGGGGGCCGGAATTCGAGTGGAATAAATAAGGGGGGCTCAAGCTAAGGGAGGTGGGTGGAAACGAAAGGCGGGGAGGATAGGCACTTGCTCCGCGCGTGCTGCGCGAGCCAGAGCTGACCCGGTGCAGCCTTATAGAGAAGGCCGGGAAGGCATTGGCCCCAGAGGCCTGACCTCTGGAGGGAGATTTTAGAACAGTGGAGAAAGACGACTGCATAGACGGGCTAGCGGGAGAAGAGGCGCGGTAGCCCCGAGTATCTCCCTTTTTACATTCAGGGCCGCCGACTCAGAGGCCGGCACCTTGCGGCCACGTGTCCACGTGTCTGGGCGCAAAGAGGCCCCCCCCC